TCCGCCAGTCTAGTGACCTCTGACATCCCATCTATAGACCTGCATTAGATGTGTGGATGCCAAGGGAAGTTCCACCAGCCGGAGTGGAGGGGGAGAAGGGGAGACCGCTGGCTGCCAGTGTATGGGGATCAGGTAGGTAAATCTGCTTTGCTCCGTTCCCTAGACAAAGATGAGGACTTAACCGTTGCAATCCGGGGATGGCCCCTCTGCAGAACTCAGCGTTTGTGGGACCCAGAAATTTGAATACAATCGGCTTATACTGCCGCCTACAGGAGGTTAGGACACTGGCATACAGACCAATTGTAGAGCAGCCCCTGTATGCTTTCCTCAGTTCTCCCCTACAGATACTTTACTGAGGCGGGTTCAGGAGATTCTTAGAACTGTTCTGTCCTCAAGGTTGGTCACACCCTGCAGAGGTTCCCTGTCTAGGCCCAGAGATGCCTCCAGGTGTTAAGTCTCTTTTTCTTCTGGTGACCATTTTCCCCTGTCTGGGGTATTACCTTTCATCCTTGCCTACCTCTTCTGCACCCTACCACCGATCTGTCAGGCTGAATCTGTGGGTTTGTACTAGGGATGTACCGATACTAGTATGGTGCCGATACCAAGTATTTGGGTGAGTACTCGTACTCGCCCAAATGCTCCGATACCTAGCACGAGTACTTCCTGTATCAGGAAGCCGGGCAGCGCATCATTACACGCTGCCCAGTTTCCTGATTGGCCAGGAAATGGCTCCATGCTCTCTCATCACAAGTGACGAGAGAGCATGGAGCCGACTTCCCGGCCAATCAGGAAGCCGGGTAGCGTGCAATGACGCGCTGCCCGGCTTCCCGATTGGTCAGGAAGCTAGCAAATCCGGAAGCCAGGCGCCGTGTAATGACGCAGCGCCCGGCGTTCTGATTGGCCGGGAAGCCGGCGTCATGCTCCCTCGTCATCTCATGAATCATAATATTAAGAAAGTGACCTTAAAGCATTAGCTTGTATTGCTTTAGAAAAAATGTGACCTGTCCCTTTAAGAAAAAGTATCGGTAATTGATATCTGCGAGTACTTGATCAAAAGTATCGGTACTCGTACTCGGTCTTAAAAAAGTGGCATCGGTGCATCCCTAGTTTGTACCCCTGTGTTCACCATCAGCCTCGCGTCACTTAGCAGTTGTGGCCATTGTCCTATGATGAGTCCAACGTTCGTGGGATATCTCCTAGTGCCAGACATGGAACGTTCATTCCCTGGATCCTGAGAATTTGGGCCCTTCACATGTAGACTGGCTGGTCTTTTCTTGTGGACCTGTTTTGCCCAAGGTTCTTCCGGGGACTTGTTCTGTTGGGTCCAGGGCTGTAGCTACCATGGGGCGAGTGAGGCACTCGCCTCAGGCGCAGCTGAGAGGGGACGCAGCCAGGACCCGCCTGGCTGCACCCCCTCACCCCTGTTGCCATGGTGAGCACAGGGTGCCATTGGCGACAGGGGCACCAGGCGGCCAACATAGCCGCGGCTCAGCAGGGAGAAGAGGAGCGGCACAGGCTCCAGCTTCTCCTCGGATCCCCGCTGCTCTCCCCCGCCTGTATGGGCCGAGGACTCTGTGTCCTCAATCTCGTTTTCTATTTCAAAAGGGAAATGTCACCGGTCTGTTTAGACCCCCCTGATATTTCCCGGAAGCCCCTCCCCCAACAGTAAAAATAATTAAATGTAATAAAAAAATGACCCACACACCACACACACACTACTAGTGCAAAGACTAAAAATTAGTTTCGGGCGAAATGAATGGACACTAAAAATGTTTTCATTAGTTCCGTCAAACGAAACACATTTTTATGCCCTTTTGGATTTGGCCACCGGCGCATTCTGCGCACCGGCATCCTGGAGGCGGGGCAAATGACGTCACATACCGCATAACGTCTGTTGGGCGGGGGGGGGCACAATTTTCTGTTCTTGCCTTGGGCGCAAAAGGAGCGAGCTACAGCTCTGGTTGGGTCCTTGCCCTGCGGTGTTTTTTTGCTTACTGTTGACCACCCCATAATGTGGTTCTGATTCCCCCTTATCAGGCAGTTCTTTTGTTCCCCCTTTTTTCGGGGTTTACAGCCTCGGGGTGATTCGGTCTCCATGTTCCTTCATGTGGAGTCATTCCTCTCTGGTGGTGATCTCTTCTGTCCCGGTCTTCAGCATCAGGTTGATCCTCAGCGGCCTTTCCATGATCGTTGGCATCGTTCCCCTATCTTGGAGGGGGCTTCACCCCATCAGGTTCAGTTTCAGTCGTTGGTCCTTCAGGTAGATCTGAGTTGCAGACGGTTCTCAGCCGCTTCTTCGGGGCCTGTCGGTGGCTGCTGCTCACCCCTCATTCGCTTTTGGATGTCCTGATTGTTTCTGAATTCCTGTGTCCCTCTAAGGACAAGAAGGAATATAAGATTCTGGTACTTCCCAATACATTTATTTCCTTGAGGGTCCTGCCTCTCTTGGTCTCAGCTTTGCCCTTGCTACTGCTTTTCCAAAAACGATGCATGCTGGGTAGAGGAGGCTGTGTACAATTTGTCTGTTTTGCCAACGTCCAACCCTCCTGTAGGCGGCAGTATACCCGAATTCCGCTGTCCCTACCAGAATCCAGTTTACACAGCGGGATGTCAGGATGTTCCTGCGCAGAGTACATCAGATGGCTCATATTATAGGCATTGGGGTGTAATAGCCGGGGAATGAAGGAGTTAATCTGTCTGGGTAACCCTTTCCCTGCTGGGCGGTGTGAGTCTCGGCATTGCTCATCGCTCCTCATTCTCATCCATTCTCCTCCTCTGCCTGGTGTTTGAAAGAACTTCTCCTGGCACTGCGCCGGCCTCCTGACCCCGCGTCTCCCATTCCACTGAACTGAAGTACAAAGTTACCTGAACTGGCGGTCTGGAGTCGGTTCTCTCCGAGTTCGGCGCTTTGCTCAATAAAGCGGAAAGGAGGTTTCGGATCAGGAAGGTCGCTCACGTTATCACTACTTACTTTATTAACGGCTCCAAATTCTCTCAGCGCTCCTCCGCCGGGAAACGGGATCGCCGCTCGAAAATCCTTCCTGGTAACGGGTCACTTCACCCAAAACAGATACATCCGTGTTCTATGGATGCTGGAGACCCTCGGACAGTGTGTCCTATCTCTGTAGAACATTGGCAAGATGTCTGCCCTGAGTTCCCGGGTCTGTACACCCGCTGTGCCCATTATGAGGGGTTCCACCATCCCTGTGCTGAGTTCCCGGGTCTATACACCCGCTGTGCCCATTATGAGGGGCTCCCCCCATCCCTGTGCTGAGTTCCCGGGTCTATACACCCGCTGTGCCCATTATGAGGGGCCCCCACCATCCCTGTGCTGAGTTCCCGGGTCTGTACGCCCGCTGTGCCCTTTATGAGGGGCTCCTGTGCTGTGACCACGAGGTGTTTGATGATGTATTGGGAGGTTGATGGTTTGGGGCTTTTATGGGAAATATATGAGAATATTACGTGTACACGGAGATTATCTCCAGTCTGCGGATCACTTTTTGTATGAATGTTTTTGTTTTATATTTGGTATTTCTTGGGATTTTGGCTTCTGGTGATACAATGTATCTATACGCATTTATTAATTTGTTATAACATGGTTGGAGGTGTTCTGTAGTCCTATCAAATTCCCTGATAACCTTGTTTTGAGATAAGATTGTAGCGCGCACAGGACAGCTCTGGATTTCTTGTCTTTTATTATTATAATGTAACAAAACACTTCCAATATTATATTTCACAGACACAAAGGGAGACAATAAGAGAAGCTCGTTGTGATTTTAGGGTTTTGTCTCCTCCAGTAGGGGGCGCCCTCTGCACGTCGCTCCCCTCCGTGTCTCTAATCTGCAGTTGCGTCTCTCTTCCTGTAGGTGTCAGAGGAGGAATACCTTATCCAAGAGCTGCGGAAAATCGAGAGCAGGAAGAAGGAGAGAGAGAAGAAGGCGCAGGACCTGCAGAAACTCATCACTGCCGCCGACACCACCACCGAACTGCGCCGCGCCGAAAGGAAAGCCACCAAGAAGAAACTGCCGCAGAAGAAGGAGACCGAGAAACCTGTAAGACTCCACTTCCTCCTGTGTAGATGTCGCGTGTTCCCGTCCGCCACACTGGTCGCTGTGGCCAAGTGAGAAGAATTGCCAAACTTTTCTTATGTATTAAATAGTAGCAGAGGACAAATCAGCAGGGTGTCACCTCCGACCCCGGCACTAGAGCAGCAGGGTGTCACCTCCGACCCCGGCACTAGAGCAGCATGGTGTCACCTCCGACCCCGGCACTAGAGCAGCATGGGGTCACCCCCGGCAACAAAAGAGAGGGGGGGGGGCATCGCATTGCATCATGGGGGAAATACATATATATATATATATCATACCTCAGTTTTTATTGTCACATCCCTGTCATGTTTCAGTATGGCTCCACGCTGGTGCGCAGGGTCTGTATGGACTGTCTGCTCTACATGAGGTATTACTAGGCTGGTGAGCTACAAATCCCAGCATCCCCCCCACCCGTGTAGGGTTATACCCCCCCCTAGTAGGTGGTGAACACACACACGTGTTGTCACCATTGCTTTTACTTTTATTATGTCCATACCAGCAAAAGTGGAAATCTTGCGTTCCTTCACACGGGTCACAGATGCCTGTAGTTGTGGTTCGCTGGGACTTCTAGTTCTTCGCCCGGAGGATATGTCCTGGCGTGCGGCGGCGGCCGGTACGTTGGGCCCTTTGTCCTGCCCTGCATTGTCTCGCTGCGTGTGCCGGGTTGTCGGGTGTTTCTGGAATTAACACCTCGCGCTTGTCTGGAGGCGATGACTTCTTCCTGATGGGTGCTGGCATAAAATCATTGACAAGTGTCAGGCCGCCCGTGTGCTGCGTGCATGCTAAGGACCCCGCGCCGGCTGCTCTGTTTACGCTCAGGGGGGCAATCGGGAAACCTTGAATCAATAGCAAGGACGAGGCCGCTCCCCTGAGCGCCCTTTCTGGATGTTTAATGGCTGCAATCAAACGGCTATTGAGCCAAGTAACTAGGCACGGCTGTAGGGCGTATGCAGCCTCTCAGGGGTTAATCACATCCTTACGGAGGTCAGATAGAAGACTGAAGGGGAGGACGGAGGTCAGATAGGAGACTGAAGGGGAGGACATAGAGAAGACTGGAGTGGAGGATGGAGGTCAGGACTTGGATTTCTGCACTGGTGACAATAGTGACCAAATCACACAAGAGGGGGGATCTCCCCCTGAGGGAGCAACAGCACAAGGAACATGCCAGAAGGAGGAGAGAGCAGAGTGATAGAAAGGTAAATCTCATCTCTCGGCCGTTTCATCCTTTCACATTGGATTTTGGTTGCAATTCTCTGCAGGTTTGAATACAAGAATATAATACAGGCGCATTATATATATATATATTTAACTTCTTACGTTTATTACTTTTTTGCAAAAAATGTGCTGTGCCTTTAAGTTTGTTGGAGTGAAGATCCCCCTCCCCCTGAGCAAATCACCCGACCGGTGCTGGGGATACCCCCTCCCCCTGAGCAAATCACCCGACCGGTGCTGGGGATACCCCCTCCCCCTGAGCAAATCACCCGACCGGTGCTGGGGATACCCCCTCCCCCTGAGCAAATCACCCGACCGGTGCTGGGGATACCCCCCTCCCCCTGAGCAAATCACCCGACCGGTGCTGGGGATACCCCCTCCCCCTGAGCAGAACACCCGCCCAGATTCGGCCCTTACTGTCCTTCTACCTGCTGCCTTTACGTGTTGCACTTTCACGTTTTGTCTGCTTGAAAACACAAACTGAACTCCTGTATTGAAACTGAATACTCTCCATTCCCTGTAAATCTGCATCTTCACAGAAGCTTCTCGCCTTCACTTCCTGTCCCGAACAACTTCCATCATCATCAGTCCCTCCTCCCCCTGATCTGTACTTAATGAACCCGTTTCTGGCAGCTATTCGATTGCTCTATCGATCATTTTTTCTCCATCGTGTGTGGGCGGGATCTTTAGGGCTGGCGTGACCTTTACTCCTGTCCTGAGCATTATGTAAAAT